GATCTCATTTAAAAACGTATTTTATACCCTTTTCATAAAGAATATTCAAAAATACAAAAATCTACTTTTCTAAAATATTTGGTGATATACTACTGAATACTTTAAATAGCTAGTTTAAATATACTTTCACATAAATGTTTAAACTTTGACCGATACTTAATTCATTCGAATTTTACAAGTATATATATTATATTTCTTCTCCAGCCTTCCTAAAATTATATCACTTACATTGAATGTGGATTTTAGCTTCGGATGAAATAAACCCAAAAAGTAGTTTTTTATCCATTTTAACTTCAAATTCTGATAATTATCTATCGTCAGTGCAATTTGAACGAGACTTTTTCTTATAATAAATGAATTTGTCGATCGTATTTTAAAAGAAATACATATTTATTTTACTATAGCACGAAATACTGCATTTCAATTGTATTAATCCATGTATCCTTGTTTCATGGTTGATAATCTATTAGATTTTTCCAAATAAAGTTCAAACCAAGAAAAAGAAGGTGTAGTCGATGTCAAATAAAAACATTAACGAAATTTTAGCTCGGTAAATTTTACTTTCTTTCAATCGTTAGAAATCGAAAAATCAAAAAAAAAATTTATAACGTATTTTTGTAGAATTCCTAGTATATAAATTTATTATTGCAAAATACTGGTAAAATATTTAGCGACTATTTCAATAGTTCTTGTTAAATAGATTAATCTTTAATTATTAATATTTTAAAGTTGATGTTTAATCAACAAAAGTCAAGATTACATTTAAAACTTCAGATCCAAGCACGGATAAAAAAAATATCTAGAGGACGAAATGAAAACAATTAAGTACAAGTACAATGAACACCTTTCAGCCTCAAGCTAGGAAAAGAATTGAAAATATTGTTGCGGGAAATCTTTGTTAAACATAAAGTGTCTAAATTGTTTTATTTTATTTGTTCATTAATTAATTATCTTTTCCCTTTTAGATAAGGGCTTTCTGCATTGAAAATCTATTAAATGTTTTCAATTTGTGATAAACAGTCGTAAGAATTTTTTTTTTTTTTGTAAAAGAGATATGTTATCGAATTTAATAAATTTTTAACGTAATATTTGGTGGTACGGTAAAATTGATGGAAAAGATAAAGTTTGGACAACACTTTTAATATCTGAAGGTATCTGAAAATGTATATATTTATGTAATAATTACATTTGGCATATTATTTTACAAGAATATACACGGTTCTTGGTCGGTTCATTGGTATGTTGTCTTCAAAATTTATATATAACCTTTCTTTTAATTTTATGAATAAAGTTAAAGGAGCTTCTGTATATTTTATGATACATAAGTCAAAAACATTTACAAATTCAAGATAAAAATTGCATCAAAATTAATGCTTATTTTTCAAATAAATTGTTTCGGCTTCCCACGTTAGAATATAATAATATTTATATGGAGGTGTTTACTGGTTTTAAAAGATAGCTCGGAGCAACAGCCATTAATTAATGACTTTCAAGAAACTCCTATGCATCTTAGTTGCTAATGACATATGAATTTTCTAGAAAAAATAAAACGATTTATTAAGAATAATCTGCCAAATAATACAACTAACCTAACAGCACCCAGAAAAATTCTTTGATCATGTGATTTTGTGATTATTGAAACGATAATAATATAATTTTTGATCAAACCATTTTTTCGCAAAAAATATAACACGTCTTGAAAATAAAATTTAAAGTTTTGAAAGGTATATATGCGCTTATATATTGTTATTTCTATTTTTTAATATATATTTATGTGTTTAACATATTATAAAAATATTGCTATTTTAAAGAAATTTTATTAATGAGCTAACTTTATTCTAAAAACATCGTATGTTTTTTATGAACTTTCCAGGTTCGTGATTTAGCATGGCGACTTCGATATGATTTTATATCAGTGTATAATTTATGAACACCTTTCAAACTATTTCCCATCTATAATTATCTAAATTCCTTTGTTTACGAATTATATTTAATGTACCACATAACCATTCCTCATATTTATCAAATATTTGATTAGTTTCGTCCACATGTAATCTTTCATTATCCTCAATATTTGTAACATCTTGTAAAATGCCTATTGTTAAAAAAAAAATATGGGAGGCGGTCAGTAGAAAAGGGGAAATCTACTTCTTAGTTAAATATTTTTTTATTGGTTCACTCTGCCAAGTACGGTCATGTGAACAAAACTAGCTTAATAACTAAAATTACTCAAAATTTGTAGATTTCCCCTTTTTCTATTGACCGACTCCCATATCATTAAATTATAAATATATTAATATAAATATATCACTAACGTTAATAATTATATACCTTTTTGAATTTTATCGTTCTCTAATATATTATTTAATTCATTAGTATTCTCCTTGGTATTGAAACTTATAAAAGGATGTTTCTTGTCGACAAATATTGTGAAATGATTTTGGTCTACCGTGTTGCTGGACAAGATGTTTACAAATAAGAAACCTATTACAAGCAAATGATAACCATCCAAAAATCCATCTTATAGTATCAGTTAAATAAGAATTATAATTTTTGCTTTTTCAAGTCATTTCAATTCTTTTTTTAAAATCTCTTTTCCAAAAATACATGTTCTCTTTCATTTGAATATTTTTGATATTGTTGCTGATGATGAGAAATTAGACAACTGATAATTATATAAATAAGAAGATCAATTCGTGGTCGAAAAATTTTGATAAAAAATCACGCTTGATATCTTTCCAATGAGATTCCATCAACATAGAAAATACAAATTTGATCTTTAAATGGTAGCACGACTCCATAAAATCCACATTTTTTTTGATACCAATTTATTCAAAGATATGCCCAAACATATTTTATACAAAATTCATAAATTTCCTAAACTGATAATCTCCAAATGTCTTCTTTTGATAGTAATACAATTAGGAATAAGAGGATGGCGATGCATATGATTTTCTAATAAATCAATAATTATAGGATTATAATCTTTTGAATAAAAATAAAATTTTTTTCTTTTTTTTGATTAGGTATTAGATGTAATTCAATATCAATAAAATGAAATGTTTCATGTGCATTATAAGAACTGTAAGTTGTAGTTTTAGAAAAATTGTTATCAGAAAGTTTCTTTTTCAATGCTTTCTTGTTGTGCCATAAGCACATTTGTATATTATATTATTCCATGTTTATTGAGCAACTGTAATTTGAGAAAAGTCTTTATCGGTTAAAAAAAATTGTAAATATTTTAATCCTCTATTTTTCAATTGATTAAAAAATTCTTCTGTAAAAATATATTTTATTTTACTTACATTTTGTATCTACAATAATTTCTTTATTCTTTGAAAAAAGTTAAAGAATGGTGTTATAAATCCCAAGTAATTTATTTCACCTTCAATATTCATTAAAATCATTTCATTCTTCAAGTAACAGTTTTGCTGATTTTAATTGATTTGTATCACGAATATACTCCTGTTTAATGAAATTAGCCCACCATGCATGAACCTGTTTTTGAGATAGATCGGGATTTTCTTGTTCAAGTTGCCGAAATGTATTTTTGAATGTAAAATTAATATATTGTAGTATTTTTTCTTTAATTGCATCATTGACAACATATCTTTCTAGAATTTTATGTAATATATCATGATTAGATGAATAGTTACAAGAGAAATATACTTCCATTGCAATCAAATCGTTTTATATGTTAACGATCTCTTTGTTTATTTAATTTAAATCTTCATATTTACGAGGGTTTTTTTTAGCCAAATGTTGACATTGAGAACTATAAAACAAATACGTATAAATTCATTGGATTTTTTTGATACAATAAGTATAATAAACATTGTTTTAATATAACTGATAATATTAATAAAAAAAGACACTTGCATATAATAATATCCATCTACTTGTTCTATCAATTTTGCAACTTGTTTAGTAATATTACATGACTCTTCTCTTAATAGTTAATTTTCCATTATAATATGCATGAAAAAATAACGCCATTTTCTTTATTTTCTAAATATTCACTACCTCCGATTTCAACAATTTTGTCATGAAGTTTGTTTATTAATATCATTCCAATATAAATGCTCTAACTGAACTTGTTATAATATTTAACTTATCACACAAGTCTGATGAGTCATCATCACACACAACTTTAGATATTTTTATTTAAAAGAATGCTCAAACAATAAAATCTATAATTACGATTAAAAAAATTTATTGGTAGGTTTTGACGAATTATGAAAAATTGACATTAAATATAGCAAAGAATTATCTTTTAAAAGATGAATTAGATGATGTAACAGACCGGTTGGAATATCTTTTAATGACGTTGCAAGAAGCGTCAACATTCTGAAACATTCGCAAGAATTTAGTATTTCAGGCAAACCATTTTAACAAATCCAAAACTTCGCCCAATAAATTTTTGCCCTATATGATCGAAATACTTTGTAGAAGAAACTAGTTTGCAGGCAGTCATCCTCAAAATACTATACGATTTAAGTAGCAGCCAGCTTTGGTACCTTGGGATATTGTATTGGATCAAAAAGACAAGACTTTATCTCGCAATCCAATTTATCCGCTCTAAGGAACGATACTGGAATTAGCAAACTCTGTCCACTACTTTAGTGCAGTGTTTGACATTTGGCCTTTTTGCTAAATAATTCTTGGCCGCGGCCAAATGCCAATCAAATTCTAATAAATAACTAGCTGTAGATCAATTTCGAACATAATGATAATAATTAATTTAAAAATAAGCTTACTTCTAATTTCTTCTTTAATTACTTTTTATAAATGTTCTCATGTCATATGTAGTTTGAAGAGAAAATTTATAAAATGTAATATTTTATTAGATAATTCAGCTACAAATTAATATTATTTTCAACTATTAATCTGATATTTTAGATTGTAATATTTATTCATTGATTGAGAAATTTTCATTTACATATTTACAATTAATGTAGTTGGCTACATGGCGTCGGCCTGAAGGCCTTAACCAATATAGGCTAGAGCCTCCGGGCTGAAGGTAAGCCCCTATCCATTAGCAAATCAGGTCCTGTATGGTCATCGAGTGCCAAAAAAATTAACGGAGTGTTCTGTACTTCAACTATATCTAACTAGTATAAAGGAAATATATTCTCCTAGTACATTCTGCAACCAATCTTTATACAGAAAACATAAATAAAACATCAAAATCATAGTAAAAGAATATAAATCATACATTGGTACAATAGCGGACTTGCTTATCTTCCGATCGTTTGTCGATCATTTTTTATTATCACATTTATTTTTGTCAAGATTTTGACATAGAATATGAAAGCTTGGATAAATTTTTATTATTATACACGCCAGGACAAAAGTATCCGGACATTTAAATGTTTATATTGTTAATTTTTGCGACCATTACTTTAAATTGTACTAGTAAAATTTAGTTTATTCGAATTAGCTATCTGGAATGTTAAAAGAACTTATATTTCATATTTAAAATGATATATTAAATATTAAACTAGATTTTGATAGATACAGGCGTATAAAGGAATCATTGGATATAATTAAATTCTGCTGAAATAATTTGATGAAAACTTTTAATATTTTAACTAAGTTAATTATTAACTATAGTAATTAAAGATTCTGTATTTTAGAAAATAAATGTAATTATAGCTACAACTTTGTCTTCAATTAAATGTGAAAGCTTATCATAACTTTATTTCTACAAAAAATCCGAGCATTAAGAAAGTTTATAAAAGGATAAAGGAGGAGTTATTCTATTTTGCAGGATAATTATTAGAGCGTTGAGGTTTTAAAGATTTAGGTCTGATACTCGTTAAGGAATATGGTAAATTTGGTAAGCTAGTTATTGGAGTATATATACAGTCAAGTTTTGTCAAGGAATTGGGTAAAGTTGGTAGGATAGATATTGGAGTATTAGAGCAATTAAGTTCCGTTAAGGAGTTGGGTAATATTGGTAAAATAGTTATTGATGTACCAGAGCAATCAAGAAATGATAAAAAGTTAGGTAAAATTGGTAGGATAGTTATTGGAGTATAAGAGCAAATAAGTTCCGTTAAGGAGTTGGGTAAAGTTGGTAAGCTATTTATTCTAGTCCTATAACATTTGAGTTCCGTTAAATAGTTGGGTAAAGTTGGTAGGATAGATATTGGTGTATCATAACAATAAAGTTTCGTTAAAGAGTTGGGTAAAGTTGGAAAGCTATTTATTCTAGTCATATAACATCTGAATACCGTTAAGGAGTTGGGTAAAGTTGGTAGGATTGTTATTGAAGAATAAGAGCAATTAAGTACCGTTAAGGAGTTGGGTAAAGTTGGTAGAATAGTTATATGAGTGTCAGAGCAATCAAGTTTTGTTAAGGAGTTGGGTAAGGTTGGTAGGATAGTTATTGGGGTAGAAGAACAATTAAGTACCGTTAAGGAGTTGGATAACGTTGATAGGTTAGTTATTGTAGTTTCAGAACAATAAAGTTCCGTTAAGGAGTTAGGTAAGGTTGGTAAGCTATTGATTATAGTGTTAGAACACCAAAGTTTCGTTAAGGAGTTGGGAAAGGTTGGTAGGATAGTTATTAAAGTATTAGAGCAATCAAGTTCTGTTAAGGAGTTGGGTAATGTTGGTAGGATAGTTATTGGAGTATCATAACAATAAAGTTCCATTAAGGAGTTGGATAAAGTTGGTATTCTATTTAATTTAGTACTATAACAACTGAGTACCGTTAAGGAGTTTGGTAAGGCTGGTAAGCTATTTATTTTAGTCGTATTACACCTGAGTTCCGTTAAGGAGCTGGGTAAAGTTGGTAAGCTAGTTATAGTAGTGCTATAACACTTGAGTACCGTTAAGGAGTTGTTCAAAGTTGGTAGGATAGTTATTTGAGTATTAGAGCAATCAAGTTCTGTTAAGGTATTTTGTAAAGTTGGCAAGCTATTTATTTTAGTCCTATAACACTTGAGTACCGTTAAGGAGATGGGTAAAGTTGGAAGAATTGTTATTTTAGTATTATAACAATTAAGTTCCGTTAAAGAGTTGGGTAATGTTGGTAAGAAATTTATTTTAGTATTATTGCAAAATAGTTTAGTCAATTTTCGATATCTTTGTAATCCTCCTAATGCGTATAATATGTCGTCCTTATTAAATTCCGTTATCGTTAAACTTTCAATAGTATCATCATAAATAATATCCGATACTTCAACATTTGATTCTAATTCTCCTACATTCTTCCGATCAGCCAAATGATGAATAATTTCGGAATCATTTAATATATAATGTATCTGATCAAATCTAACAATTTGAGACGATCCTCCAAATGAATTATTTATATTAGAAGATGCATCGGTGTTATCTAAAAGATTCTGTTTAATATTTGATTCATGTTTATTCGTTTGATTATTTTCCGTTATGTCGGTAATCGTAATAATTGAATTCAATTTTTCAACTACTTGACTCATTAATGGACGATTATCCGGATCATTATCCCAGCATTCTAAAAACGTAGGAATTTATTAATCAAAAGCAATGAAGTTGTATTAAAAGCTGAAAATTTAATAAATTACCGGTGTAAATTTTCGCAAAGTCTTTAGGTGTACCAGGAATGAACGTTTCTCTAAGTCCTTGTGAAATTTCTATAGTTAAACTAATGTCATATTGTTCACCTTCAACATAAAAAGGAGGCCGACCGCTTGATATCTCCCAAAAGAGCACGCCAACACTGTAAACATCGCTCTTTTCATTTAAGATATATTGTTGAGAAGTATTATCACCTCTTCGCTTGTTAAAAAATTTTGGGTCAACATAAGGAATTACTCCAAAAACTTTTGACTGAGAAGTTGCAGTTTCAATTCTTTTAGATAGTCCAAAATCAGCTAGTTTAATAATTCCTTGACGAATTAATATATTACCGGAATGCTATTATAGATAAAATGTATTATTAATAATTAACAACAATAACAACAAAAAAGACATATGTTATTCAAGCTTACCAAATCACGATGCATAATTCCTTCTCCATGTAAACACGACACAGCACAGCTAACTGGAATGCAAAGTTGTATTTATCTTCCCAAGTAAGGTTATCAAAATTATCCTTCAAATATTTTTTAAGTGCACCGCCATCTGCATACTCCATTACTAATCAATACTTTTTCAATTGATTATCTAATTTTTTTTTTTTAAAAAAAAATTAATATAAGCAAATATAAAATAAAAATGATTTAAATAAATTTTTTATAAAGATTTACTTTGTTTTGAAGTTATCCCACAAAAGCTGATAATATTTTCATGAAAATCAACTTCACGTTGAAGTTCAAGCTAAATTTATAAATTTTAACTTGATACACAAATAATTTTATAATAAGCAGACGAAATATATATATTACATATTGTGCTTACCTCACGAACAAGTTCTTTCACAGTGGCGTTGTTGAAATTATGAAAGGATTTTAACGCGAGATGTTGCTTTGAACCTTTCCAATTAGCACGATAGACTGTTCCAAAGCTGCCATTGCCAATCTCTTGAACATTACTAAAATGTTTGAATTCATAGTACTTAATGTGTTTTCGTGAGATAGATTCTTCAATCCAGTTAACACAATCATTCGAAAAGTTGGCAGCTTGCATTTTGAATTATTCAATTTTGTAATAAATTAAAATTCTTGGAGGAAAAAAAGAAAAAAAAAAAGGCATTAACCTCATGTAACGTTAATCAAATTTCTAAGCTACCAGTAATTGTGATGATCTGCATCCGCACAATTAATTTAATGTTTCACAAGAAAAATGAAGCACTTGTACTACACAAATATAAAAATAAGTTAAAGGCTAAATCTGAACATATTTTGACCTAAAGATCATATTTTGGCATATAAAAGTAAAATTGATTTTTCTTGCAGTTTCCACCTTTTCAATTATTGCAAAGGTTCGTGCTACATAGTCAAAACGGTTCAAATAAAAAGGAATCCATTGATGAATAATTGTTGAAATTTCCAACTTCTAACGAATACATCAAATCAAAAATTTCCCGATTCATCAGGTCAAAACATTTCTGGACAATCCGAAAGCTCCGCAGTAAAATTTTAGTATCAACTTTAATTTATGAGAATTTTGTTTATGGTTTAATTACGGAATGAAAATTTAAAAATTTTTTATGTTTAAATAAATTATTTGAATAAAATTTATGAAAAAGCATATTGTATATACATTATATTCGTTTTTTCAATGAAAGTTTCTCAAATATTCATCAAGTGAATAAATGTGACTGAGTATTTTTAAAATTTTGTTGCTTTTTGAGAAAACTTTAGAGATGGTATATGAAACGTAGAAATTTAGAGAAAATTCACGTCGATTTAATTTATTTTACATGTTATATTGAATAAATCCTCATTTTAAGACATGCCTGCAATAAATATTGATCAGTGAAATTAAAAAAAAAAAAAAGTTAATCATCACTTTGATCTAATTATTCGCAATTTTTAAATATTCACAAAATCGCATCGCAATCATCGTCAGTCAATATATTTTATTTAGAGAATTCTGTAAAAATAAAACAGTTATCGCTTTAATTTTAAAATTTTAATTTTTTTAATAATAATATAATTTAATTTTAATGTTTCTTTATAATATTTAATTAAATTTACAATTTAAAATTAGTTAATATTTTCTGATATATCGTATGAGAATTTTATATTTCTAAACCGGATAATTTGCAAAACTTTTAGTGATTTTCTACATTATATAGTTGTAAAAGAAATATTTATCAAAGGATTCCGAACTAATCATTTATTTTATTTGAATTCTGTAGGTAATTTTGCATTAAACGTTCAGGAATCGTTTGCTGCAATGCCCATGTAACATTAATTCAATTATTTTGTATTTGCTTAGTCCCCTTTACCCACAGCATGATAAAAATACACCAACTACTTGTTTTCGTCAAATACCTCTATGGCATCGTTGCCAAAAAATGATTCTGAAGAAAATTTATAGAAAATTTTATTCAATAGTAAATATAGGAAATTAAAAGGAAATTGACTTAGATCATTAATTTTATTAATTTTATCGGACAATAATATCATAAGATAAATGCACATTGAAGAAGAAACAATGAAAACCTAAAATAGCAGAAGCACTCCGACGAAAATTGTACATAGGACAGGCGAACCCATATGTTCACACTTGCTTAGCCGATAGTACGAAACGAGAGTATACTTCTTTCTTTATTTGGTCCTTAAGTTCAAGGAACGAATTCACTTACCAGCAGATATTTCACTTTGA